GTATTAGGTGCGCCTGTGTATACGGATTTTAAAGGCAGTTGGCACGATGATTGGGTGCTCTGCCTAAAATACTAGTAATGCGCTATATAGGGGAAATGGCGAAAGAACGGAGTGAAACGGTCAAAATCCTGCGAAAAAAAGCCTCTCGTTCTCACTGTGTTAGTAATCAATTTTGGACGAGTTTCCCGAAGGCATCTTACCAATAACCGCTACCGAAGGTACGGCTGCATATGTGTACTCATATATCCATGCAGCATCACGGCCGCTTCATACCAATCCCTTCGCTTCATAATTTGCTTAGCAAATGAATCAATTAGAGCGTCTGGAACAGTCGTCCATTTGTGGGCGGGCGGGCAAGGGGGCGTTTGGGACGTAAAGTTGTGGCTTGATAGCGCCCTTATAAGGGCACCTTCCCTGGAAAAGGCATTATGCAGCGCCTGCTCAGGGTCGCGGAATTCCGTCCTGCCAGGCGTATTAGTCCTGCTCGTCTTGGAGGATTTATCGTGCCAACTGCCTTTAAGTGAGTCCGCTTTGAATAGTAATTAGAACATAATCTTCTGTCTCCCAATAGGTGTCTCCGTACATGACACGGGACTTCAAATATTACTCCCAAATGCGCTCAGTCACCAATTTTCCATACCAAGAATTCTGGGACAGCTCGGTGGGAGGGGGGAGGAGGGGGGCATTTCGCTCTCCTGCTATTTACCAACGATATGTCCACAAATCTAGAGTGCCTTTTTGAGTTGACATGTTTTGCCATAATGGTTCGACGAGCTCGCTCCAGCTTCGCAAGAGTTCACGGGATTCACTGAAGTGATCTTGTAAACCGGAACTTGTGAAGCAGCGAAAGTATTAATGCCTCCACTGTCGCCAAACGCCAGAAATTGCGCTCACAAAGAAAAATTGGTGACTGGACGCAATTGGGGGTAATAAATGGCGGAAAAATTGGCGCCACAAAAGAAAAACTGCGTGAGCTGGACGGCCAAATTGGGGGTAATAAATGAAACCCAGTGTCAGGTATGTGACTGCGGAGACAGCAAGGGTCGTAGCTAGTCATTTCAAAGAACAAACTTGCGCACATGAGAAGCGGTATTCGTTCAATTCTATCGACTTTTACTCTTGATATTGTGCTGTCTCGGAACCTTATTGCAATCTGAATATAAAACACATGAAAGAGGCAACAAAAATTTTATTGCAAAATACTCAAAAGATCCAAAAATCCAAAAATCTAGCAAAAAAAATTGTTTTTTCTAATCCTTCCTTCGGTTGTTTCGGTGCCTTCTTCAGCGATCTGAAATACTACAGTTAGCCGCTACCAACCATATCCTGGACCCTGCCTCCACTGGTGTCCCCCATCCGGACTCCGACCTGGTCTGCTGCCTCCAATACCTACCTCCGCTGCTCAAGCGCGGAAAGCCGACCTTCCAGTGTTGACTGAGTGACCCTACCCGTCAGTTCTGTGAGATCGGAGGCCTCAGTGAAAGCAGGTCTGGGATTCGGTTGGTGGCGAGTAACTGTAGTATTTCAGATCGCTGAAGAAGGTGCTAGGCACCGAAATATTCGAAGGGAGGATTAATGAGTTCTTCTTCTGCCTAGCGTTAGTCCCGCGCCGTCGCAGGGTCCGCTGTTCTTGTTCGACGTCGCCACTTGTTCCAATCCACTGCATCTTCTGCTGTGCTATTCAGAAATCCAAGAACCTCGTAAGGCCCAAGACTGTTGAGCTTACGACTTAGTTGCCGAGGGCAAAAAGAGAGAAGCTGCAGAATATTGAAAAAGCTGTTGCTGTGGTCACATTCACGGTCACACCTCATACCCATGGAGAAAGGTACCTCATAAAATATTTATGGGCACATCCGAGGTTAGGAGAAGCACTCGACAAACATATTAATGGAGATACTTGTTTGAAAACTCAACACCGCAATATGGCGGCCGTACAAATCTGTCAGTGTTGAAGCCTTATATGTTTTTTTTTGTTCAATATTCACACACAGTTTAGAGCTCTATTCACAAACGCCTCTTGTTCACTCGGCTTGCAGAACTTCGTAAGGATTCTCAAGCTGTGTGACGTGGTTCTCGCCGTCAAGGTGGTCTTTTTGAGAAGTGTGCTTGACATACTCGGGTGAAAACATATTTCAGGAGGAACGAATCAGCGCCCATCGAGTCGTACTGGCTGCATCTTCGAATTATTTCAAAACCTTGTTTACCAGGGACATGACTGAAAACCGCTTGCGTATGTTCAATAATTGATTTACATGTTCTTCCGGTCAATCTTCTTCAAACAGTACATACACTGGCAAATCAAATGCACAAATATTGCAATATTCCTCTTATTGACTCTTGTTTTTTCTCAGAAGAAGTGTATTTGGGTAATATGGAAGCATCTGTTGTTGACGCCCTTGTGAAGTTCTGCTACTCTGGAGAGATAAATATTAGTAACGCCAATGTGTTGAACATTCTATCCACTGCTCGTTTGTTTCAATTGGACCAGGTTGAGGTTGTGGTATTTTCACGAGAAAGGGTACTATAAAGTTGTGATCCTTCATCGCTGTTGTAGGAGTTGTGTCGTGAATTCCTGAAAAGAAAGTTGGAGCCGTCCAGTTCCTTGGCAGTACGACCGGTTACCGACAGTATTTCGTGTCCTGAAGCCGACGAGAATGTCTTGCATAACTTCGAAGTTATTACTTTATTGTTAGTGACCCTTAGCTTGCAAAAATCTCTTTTTTTTCAGAATGCTGTGAATACGGAAAAAGCTCATGAAATTCTCGTTAACCAACTAGTTGAACTGATTTTTAAGTGAAGAGCTAAGTGTACGATTAATGGCGCAGGTATATGGACCAGTTTTGTATGATATCGTAATGTTGCTTTGTAACCACTTTATGCTCATTCTATTCTTGATTGACCGCTACAAACTCTTTTAGATTGTTAATGCAGTGCTTCGGTGGATCAGGTCCGACCTGTCAGCTCGAAAACAATTTCTATCAGAGGTAAAACCCTGGGTACCTCGTCGGGATAGCTGTTTTAATTTCTGATACTGTAGGTGAAATCCTTGACAACACAGCAAGCGGTGAACTAAGATCTGCCGTCTGTCTTAATACCTTATTTCTCAATTTTCCCTTTTTCAGAGTTCCTACTCATTACAACTATCTACACCGAACGACTCAGCAAGCAGTTACTAAGCACCCGACAGAAGGATTCATCCAAATTTCGTGAAGTATTATACGTTGGTATGACGAAAGCTAGCAGGTTTTTTTTCCCTGCTTCAACATTGCGATTCTGGGATGGCACATATAAAGGATAAGGGATGAGCTCTTCGCCACTGATCACCCCTTTGTAGAATGCGACACGCATTCTTTTGTATTAAAAATATCTTATGTGCGGGCTGAATGTTTCGCACTTAGGCACCACATTTAATATTACAGTACGCCCGAAATAAGGCCTGCCCACATCGAACGCTATCAATTTCAGTTGTTGAATATTTGGAATGAAATTCTGTCCAAAATTTTTTCAGATTGCTCAATAAGAAGAAGGGAGGGGCCACGGTGGTCGAACTTGTTCGTAGAACTGCTTTTCGAGTGTTTGGCATATGTTTCAATAAAAAGCAAAACTAAGAAATGCATCAATGATTGGAACCGTCATCGCATTGCTATGAGCCCACTCTCTTACCTGCGCGCCATCGAAGCACGCGGTTTCAGGGAAGTGGGATCAACAACCGCAAAGTGGGCAAGCGGCGCACCGCAGTAGTTAAGCACAGGAGAAAAGAAGGTCCGTAACTTATCCCCTAGAATTATTCAGCAGAATTGGAGTCAAACCTAATAAAAGCGTCAAAATATGCTTTTAGGAGTATACATCCCATACTGAATGGTATCGTTCCCTTGTCAGACTGGCCTTCTCTGTGCCAAACGATGCCAGAGCGCTTGGAGTCAAAGTCTGCGGATTCGCCGTTCATGTCGCAACATACGGCGCTGAATTATGGGCCACGTCTAAATAAGCTGAAACCGGCTTTTATGAAAATGTTGCGCTGGACAGCAGGCATCATGTGCATGAATCGATGGACGACATGCGCAAGGGACTCGTTGTAGCTCCCGTGGTCAAAAAAATGCGCATGTGAAGTTGGAAGCTTGCCTCCGGTGGTATGGTCATGTATTGCGCGAGAATTCCGACACCGTCCGTAGGACAAATCTCAAGCTCGAGGTGCTCAAAAAGTGACCCAGGTGGCGATCCAAGCAGCATCGGATGTACACGTTGCATGCGTACTTGAAAGTAGTTGGCATCCAATGGGCATCTAGTCGGGAGAAGTGGCGTCACAAAATAAGAGCAGCACCGCCATAGAGCGGGCAAGCGCTGGTTAAGGTATCTCCTCAATAAATACCTTATCACTACGCATTCTGTTTTTGGTGTGCATCATTTGTATCCAATGGTCCCTCAGCACTACAGAATATTGAGATGCATTGTCTTTCCCTGTTGAGTTACTTTTCAGTGGGAGGAGAAGGCCACGCTTCCGGAGAATACTTCGATCCTGGGGAGAAATTTCCAGTGTGGCGTCAAATCCCCTCCATGAGCATTACAAGGTAGGTCATAAAATAGTGAGTGTGCTTTCCAATAACAACTTCCTTTTATAGAGGATATGCCGGCGTTGCTACTCTCGACGATTTGCTTTACGTTGTTGGCGGCTTGAGTAACGGAAAGCGTGTGAATAGTGCTGAGAGGTATTAAGCGAATTCTAACCTTTTTTACGAATAACTAGAGACAAAATTGTGTAATATTACGGTTCGGTATTCACTGCGTGACAGAACTATGAATACTTGCAAAAATTATTTTCTTAGCAGTGACTATTTGACCGGCTTGATGGTAGAAGCCAGTGGAAATGCTTGGTATGGGTACAGTCAGGTGTGTGGCGCGAACGGCCTTTACGACTGCTCTCACTGTTGATCTCTGCAGAAATAGTGTAAAAGGAAGTTACGTACTTGGCGGCTCTGTGAGGGCTAATGCCGTTTGGACTCCAGGAATTTCGGCACCGAGCTCATTTTTAAATTGCCTAAGTCACCAAATCCGCTAAAAACTTGTATATAGGGGTAGTTTAACATCCTGATTACGAATATGACATTCACTCTTGTCGCTGGCGCTAATGGATGACACTACGATTATCTGCGCTCTGCTAAGGCTGAGCCCAGCAGGTAATCCTAGTGTCATCCATTAGCGCCAGCGACAAGAGTGAATGTCACATTCGTAATCAGGATGTTAAAACTACCTCTATATACAAGTTTTTAGCAGATTTGGGGACTTAGGCAATTTAGAGATGAGTCGGTGGCGAAATTCCTGGAGTCCAAACGGCACTAGCCCTTTGTGAGATATCGCCCTGGAGCGACATACCGTCTGAGCGTTTCCTGAGCTCTGAGGATGGTCTGTCGTGTTATCTCTACCTTGAATACCGATTCTTGAGGTAGGGCAGCTAGAGAAAAATTTCGGAACAAGACCTGGAACAAGCTCCAGCTGCGCCCTTTTGAATAGTTCTCTCAGAGTTTTTTCAATGCATATAAACATCTTATCTGCTCAGTTAAAGTGTGCTGGAAAACGCTATTCCGAATTATGTGACCTGAATGATCAAACTGGATGTCGGGGCAGATTTCTGAAGAATATTGCGTGTAAGGTCTGGCACGTCAAGCAGCGTTCAGATTCAACGCGCTTTCAAGCGCAGCTACACGCATTGCTGCGTGTAAGCCCGTTTGGGCGCTTCTCAGCAGTTACAAGCGCGCTCAGCAATATTCTACTATTCCTATCCCAGTGACCTCCTAAACATGAATTTCACATCCGCTCGCCCCGGAACCGCCTGGCACCCGCGCCAAGGCGCCGGCGACAGAACACCCTAAATCACCAAAGTTGATGAAAACTTGTCACGATAACTAACGCACCTGAACAATGGTATGGCGCGAAACCGCCTGGCGCCCGCGCAGGCGCCTAAATCATCAAAATCGATGAAATTTCTTATGGTTCATTTGACATCCTGATCATGAATGACTTTTTACTCCTGGCACCGGCGTTCATGGGGGGCGGGGGGGGCAGAGGGAACACTACGATCATTTGCGCTCTGCTAAGGCTGAGGTTCTCATGATGGGAACCACTCCTTCTCCCAAGTTCAGCCCTAGCAGAGCGTTTAATAGCGCTGCTGTCGAAAAATAAGTGCAATATCCGTGATCAAGGCATCTAACAACCCTACTACGCAAGTTTTTTCGAGTTTGGGCGAAAACGGTGTTGCGCCGATGTCAAAAATCAATGCGATATCCGTGATCAGAATGTCAATTAACCCCGTGCAAGGTTTCATCAATTCCGGTGAGAAAGATGGTAGCGACAGCCTGGTGCCTTGCGCCAGATGGCGCCAGCGCTAAAAAGTAATGTCCTGTGTGTGATCAGGGCTTCGCATTACCCCTGTAGTCAAAGTTTCAGCGAAAAAAACTCCCGAGTATTGATTTGGGTAAGGTGGTGGTTCATAGTGACGGCGCGCAGCTTTGCAATTGTTAAGCAGCTGTTGAAGCGCCGTTATAGCGCGCTTTCAAGACACATGGTACGATCATACATAGTTTGGGTGTGGATCACTACCAGCCTCCCCCCCCCTGTCGAAGCGTAGCGGTTTCCCCTCCGAACATGCGCATCAGTTCGAATTTCATCACCAATTCGAATTTTGCAGCTTCACCTCAAATGATCAGTAGCGATCTAATTGTATGCCAAAGCGCAATAGCACGACTTGGCAAAGTGGCAGGAGCGCTGCGCGCGACACGTGCCGCGCGGACGACTATAAACGGGATCGGGAGTCTGCAAGATGCATTTTAGGCGGAGCATGGAGGAATTAGCACGTTCCATTGTCCTGGATCTCCATTCCTGCGCATGTTCCGACAGCGAAACCGCTACGCTTCGACAGCTGGGGGGGGGGGGGGCGGCTGATAGTCACGCACACCGAAACGTATATAGCCTGTATGTGTGATCGTACCATGTGTCTTAACACTCGTTACTGCGCGGCAGCACGGCGCAGCAACACGCGCAGCAATGGGTGTTGCGGATGTACAGCGCTTGACTCTAAACGCTGCCTAACCTCCGTATGTGGGTTGCATCGATTTTGGTGATTTAGGGTGACTTGGCACCGACACCTGTGGCGCGGCGCCACGCGGTTTCAGGCCACGTGAAAGCGCGTTTATTCTAAACGGTGCCTTGTTGCGGACGTGATGAGCGAGCCTGCTGTATGCTCTTCAATCTGAACTTTGGCCTCCCCCCTCAGTGATGGCATGCCCGAATCACTTCAGCTAAGGGGTCCATCGAAGCCTCGGAGTGTTTCTTTCACTGGAGGCACCATCTGATGATAAAGAAACTGGGCAGTAGGCTGCTAGGCAAACGTTTTCAGAATTAAAGGCAGCGTTCGCGATCAACCATTGTGAAAAAACTCTGCATTGAAAACGAACGCGGAGTCCGCAACCGCAGCGGAGATCCGACTCTCGCGGCTCGAAATCGATTGGTTGACGAGGGCGGAGTCAACAACGCTGAGCTGACGCCTCCTTTCCTGTTAACCGGTTTCCGATTGTGTTAACAGTTGTCAATGCTTGCTGGCCATTTGATTAATGCGCCGGATTTCATAGAGTTCCGAGGGCGGCTCGCGACGTGTAATTGGAGAGCCTCACCGGAAGTTGCGAAAACTTCGTCCACATGCCTTAAATTCCTAGTCTTATTTCACGCTCTTCCACACCTTTTTCCTGCTTTTTTTGATTAGTGCTTCATTGGCCACCTGTTCTAGCAAATGTGACCCCTGAAACCTGCCAAAGTCCATCGCGGGCGCTGTCTTTAAGTCCTTCGTTGCTAAAAAGCGGACTAATGCATCATAAGGGTTGGAACAGTGCGCTTTTAAGTGACATTAATTTTTGCCACTGTCATCTGTGAGGAATAAACAGAAAAGCATAAAAAGAATTGTTGAATTTGGAAAGTACTTTGAGGTTTCTCCCAGTCTGATACTGGGATGGCTTTGTTTATGGTGATGGGTTCTCTTTAGAGATAAACATAGAAAAATCTCGACGTATCTTAAAAGGAAATTTTAGATTTGATCCCGTTGCTAATGAATGGTCGAGTGACATCGTGCCAATGCGCACATGTCGTAGCAGTGTTGGTGTGACTGTGCTGAACGGCTTTCTTTATGCATCAGGCGGTCTTGACGACAGCGGCAAGGCTCTGGACACTGTGGAACGGTAAAGAAATATTCCGATCTGCTTTTGGTTGCGTTGGTTTATATTGAGTTGTCCCAAATTCCGTGACATTTCTTTGAATGTTTATCAGATCTGTCTGCGGCTATTTCGAGATTCACTTATGTGGTCTGTGGTTAGAGTGTTGATAATCAGCCCACAGTTGCCTTACTGTCCCTCGCAGCCGCTGTTCCCTTCACCAAAACGGTGGAAGAATTTCCTCATTTTCGTCACACTTCGCTAAATGAATCTCACCAACACGGCGTGGTTGGAGTCACACGCAGCATTTGCTCTGAGTTAGGCCGTGATACTACCTTCCATAGCACGGCGTTGGAATGGCCCGATCGCTTTGCTCAAGTGACTTCTATCTCGGAGACAAACCTCGTCCAGGGAAGCCATCTGCCTTGGATTTAGACCTACTGCGTCCCTTGATCAAAACCAGTCTGTACGAAGTAGCTCGCTATCTAAGCCCCACACTCGTCCGTTCCGAGAGCGCGAATGACAGAAATCCACTACCTTGGGAAAATGTTGAAAATCATTTGAAGTTTTCTCGTGTATTGAGCGATACTCAGGAAGGAGCTCAGATGGGTACTGTTTGGAATTTCCCTCGCGCTCGTGCCATACGGACTGGTTGAACAACGTTGTAGCTGGATATGGAGGAGGTGTCTCTTAAACTTTCCCTGAAGCGCTTTTCTAGATTCTCCAGAAAGGCAGAACCGGTCATGCAATCCTATAATTCAGTGGGGCGGTGATACTGTGTATGCGGTAGGGTTTACCGCAGGGACTTTCTCCCTCTCAACGCTGTGATAACCAGCGAGCCTTATCATACTCATCTGCAGACAGGGTACAGCATGC